CAAAGTCTGATGCATCTATTTTCATAAAAAATGGCTTAGAAAAATCGATGCGATATAAGATTGGTGCAAAAATAAAGGTTGTCTTCAAAGCTTCAAATGCTACTTCTGCTTCTTGATTCCTTTCAAGTTTGTCTTTGCAAGTCAAACGTATAAGTGGAATTACAACTTGAAAGAAGCCTTTGATGAAGATCCAATAGTAGTTGTCAAGGACAAGAACTCGATGAAAAAGTAATTCAGACAAGTGAGCCTTCACTCAAAGAAAGGTAATAAAATATAAATAAACAAGTATGTATATTGAAAGAGAAACTAGAATGGCTATTACTAAAAGACAAGAAAACTAGAGACCCTTGAAACTAGATTGGAAGCAAGAAAAGAGTTGACAAGAGTAAAGAAGGCTTCACTGTTGTTTCTATATATACTATCTAACTAAGGGCTACATGGCGACGTTCTATAGGACCTCCAATATGTGTTGACTTTGTAGGACACATGCCTTGACTTACAAGGCAAGTTTTTCTATATGTGGGCCACAGAGTTAGCTTGATCTTCAAGTTAACAATATGTGTGGCACATGGCTAACTTGTAGACCACGTTTCTAATCCAAAAATGCAATTAAAGACACCTATGAGATCAAAGCACCGTCTATGAAGCTTCTAAGAAGCTTTCATATTAAATATTATAGAATTAACTTACTTTTACCTACTTTTACTTACTTCCACCTATTTGTATATGTAATTACTAGCTTACATGAGTATGTCCGTGACAGTAGTTGGCAAATCCCAAAAAGCATTAGACATCTCTTACCATTTTTGGGACCTTCCAATCTATAATAGTTTGAATTTTTTTAGGATCTATTATAAGTCAGTCATTTGAAATGATGTATCCTCAGAAGTCGACTTGAGTAGTGTGAAATACATACTTTTCTATCTTGGCATAGAATCCTGCATCTCTTAGTTTTTGTAATACTTTACGAACATGAAGTTCATGTTCCTCTAAGTTCTTAGAATAGATTAAAATGTCGTCAAGGTAATAGACAACAAAATCATCTAAAAACTCCCAAAAGACATCATTCATTAGATATTGGAATGCTGTTGGTGCATTTGTAAGTCCAAAAGGCATGACGTTGTATTCAAAATGTCTATACCTTGTTCGAAACGCAGTCTTCCATTCATCTCTTTCTTTGATGCGTACCAAATTATATGCTTACTATAGATCTATTTTTGTATAGATCTTAGCTTGATTCAACTGATCAAGAAGTCCACATATCAAAAGTAGGGGGTACCTATTTTTGATAGTGATTTTGTTGAGTTGTTGATAATCAACACACATCTGCAATGATCCATCTTTTTTCTTCACAAATAAAATTGGAACTCCTGCTGGAGATTTGGAATGGCATATGAAGTTCTTGGCCAAATTCTCTTCAATATACTCCTTGAGTTCAACCAATTCGTTTTGAGATAAATTGTAGATTGGTCCAAATGGCAGTTGTGCTCCTTCTTGAAGGTCAATTGAGTAGTCATAGGAACGATGTTTTGGAAGAGTATCCGCATTCTTTTTTTCAAATACATCTTGAAAATCTTGATATTGGCTTGGAATGCCACTTGAAGTCTTTCTACCAATAGAAACAGGTGTGGCATAAATGACATAAGGTGATCCTTCTTTTGCAGCATGCAAGAAAGCACTTGCACCTACAAATATAGGTTTAATTATACTAGACTTATGACTTTCTACTTGATTAACTACACTCTTAGTTATACTTTCAGAAAAATCAAGACTACGAGATATCCAATCTATTTTAGGATTATATTTTCTAGCCATGATAAATCTAAAATGACTAGATTAGAAAGAGATCTAATAATATTAAATATTATAAAGCTACTATGACCATTAATTGCTATTTCTATAGGAAGGGTTTCATGAATAATATCTCTTGAAGACAATGAACAACCATCTATGACTTCTACATGAACAAGTTTAGTTTTCTTTATTAAAAATATGTTACGTCTTTTAGCAAATTTTTCATCTAAGAAACAAGCTGAGCCTCCTGAATCTAGCAAGACAAAGGCTTTGAGATGTTTAGGTCTTAAAATAACATTTAGTGTAAAATATGGAGAGGGTTCTGAGGAGAGGATAGGACCTTTATTAGGCGTTGTACAAGGTTCCAGCCGCACGGTCCCTATTGTAGCTGGACAAATTCATTTTCCATCTTTGATCACCGTACTCCTCATTTTATGGTTGCGTCGCTTCTTTGAGCAATGTGCTCAGGTTCTCTACAATATAAGCACAATCCTTCTTGATGACGACAAGTCTTTTCTTGCTCAATAAGAGATTTGAAATGTATTACATCAATTTACATATCCTCTACTTTTGAATGTATGTATTGAAGAGATATTGGTGTTGCTATTGAATTATAGTTACATTGAGGTCTACTTGTACGGTTCTCAAATCAGAATTCAAAAAGGCAATTGTCGCACTTCACAGCAAAGTCAATTACTTGAGTCAATGTTTGAGGATCAAGTAAGTTGAGCATTAATTTTTTTACCTCATATTGCAATCCGTAGAAAAATTGGCTAATAAGTGTAGCATCATCCTACTTGATATCAGTTGCAAGTTGTCAAAATTGTGAAGCATACAACATAACTGATCGATTATCTTGTCGTAAAATACGGATCTTATTGATTGCAACACGAATTGCATCATGTTCTCTATACATAGATCAAAACTCCGCTAAAAAAGCCTCTAGATTATCCAATATTGGATCTCATCATTCAAAAAAAGATGAAAACTACGATAGTGCTGAACCTGAAAGAAGTGTACCAATGAATCTAACTTGTGATCTTGGAATTGGATAGCTTTGGGATTGAAGTTCAATCACAAGTTGCTTTTGAATGATAAATCCTCCAAACTTCGATCTAGTGCCATCAAACTTCTCGGGTAGGGCAATTCTTGATTCTCTAACACTGGAAGGGCATTCCATCAAAGGAGAAGGGACATGATTTAGTGCAGATGTTGAAGCAGTTCCAATCATTTCTATATCTTCACTTCCTCCCAATCTTGTTGCTCCTTGTGGTGGTAAATTGAGTTGATGAATCGCAAGCATTAACTCCCTCAATTGCTCTTGCATTTGTGCCATTGCACTCTTCATTTCAACAAGTTCTGCCATGATAACACTTAGAAAAGAGAAGATGTCTAATATCGCTCAAGACAAATAGAAGAGAGGACTTGAGAACAAAGAAAATACTAAGGACAATATCAGTTTAAAAAAAGATAATCCGCAACTTCTAATATGCTTGTGTCTTATCAAGAAAAAGAGGTAATCCACTCTTAATCAAGCTTACACAAAGCTCTGATATTGTAGGTGTACTCTAGTCAATCTGTCAAAGACAAGAACATAATAAAGACAAATAAACAAGTGAGACTTCTTTCAAAGAAAGATGACAAAATAGAAATAACTTGATATGTATATTAAAAAAGAAATTGGAATGACTATTGCCAAAATACAAGAAAACTAGAGACCCTTGAAATTAGACTGGAAGTAAGAATGGAGTTGAGAAGAGTGAAGAAGGCTTCACTCTTGTCTCTATATATACTATCTAACTAAGGGCTACATGGCGATGTTCTACAGGACCTCCAATATGTGTTGTGGCACATGGTCAACTTGTTGACCACGTTTCTAATCCAAAAAGGCAATTAAAGACACCTATAAAGTCAAAGCAACGTCTATAAAGCTTCTAGGAAGCTTCCATATCAAATACTATAGAATTAATTTACTTTTACCTATTTTTACTTACTTCTACCTATTTATACATGTAATTATTGGCTTACATGTGTATGTCCGTGACACATAGTCATCTATATTTATGAAAATTTTGAGCCAAAATTTTGTCCAAAAACTCAAGATATGGCAAAAACCAAAATCTCCATTAAAAACAACTTACTTACAAACTCCAGTTTTGAATATTAACTTCCAATAGCTCTTTCTCCTTTGTTTTAGATTGAAATGTATCAACTTTATAAGATAAAATGTAGCTCTTCAAGTTTGCTTTCAAACCTCACTTTTTGATTTCTCAAAGCTTTCCTACAACTCTCAATATGCTTAAAAGAGTAATATTAGATACCAAACTTATATCCTAACTTCAAAAAATCATAACTCTCTTGTTATAACTTCAAATTACATTTTTTTTTAAATCCAAATTTCTAAAATACAAACTTTTTGAATCCAATTTCTAAACTTCAAATGTGTTGCTTTGCTTCAAATTATATCAATGATTGCATTTGGTCCTATGTATTTAAATATAAATAGATGCATCATTTCATAAAAATATTATTATAGAATAGATCAAATTTTTAAAAAAGATAAAAATAAATGATAATAGTTATTAAAAATTATAATATAACTATTAATAGTATATAATATTATATTGATTATTACTTATAAATTAAAATCTAAATTTAAAATTTTATATTAAATTATATATATATATATATATATATATATATGAAATGTTAGATTTAATTATTTCATTTAAAAAAAACTATGATGCATTTAATAATAATGATAATAATAATAATAATTTTAACATATCAAATGTAAAATATATTCTAACACATGAATTCTCTTAAAAATTGTATTATCTTAAAAATCTAATTTTATTGACTTTAACTTCAATCAAAATGATGTAAATCACTTACTTGAATACAAGCTGCATACAATGTAAAATTCATGTACCACTTAGCCTTAAATTAATTTGGAGAAGAGTCATGTGTACTTAATTTTAATATGATGTCAAATGTTTTGGTAAAAAGTCCACTTCATGGGCTTTGACGGCCTTCTATTTCCTTTGAATGTGTCCTCCCCCACTTGAGCATTGTCCAGCTCAGCAAAGCCAGCTAGGCTTCCTCTGCTGACAGGAGTGATGAGGTGGCTGCTGACGAAGCGCCAACGAGGAGCGTCGTTCCTGTTCGTGACGGCTCGATTAGTCGATTTTCAAAAAATCTCTCTGTAAGTGTCCAATTTTTGTTTTTCGCAGGTTGGGTTTACATGGATTCTGCATTCTGTCGCTCGTGGCAGAGATTCTGTGTGAACTGAAACTTCATTTCCTCGCTCGTATCTATTCTAGGGTTTTGGGGCGAGCGTAGGCACGAGCTCTTGAGGCGTAGGACTCGGAAGTTAAATTGGTATAAAATGCTGCAATTGTGTAGACACGAGATGTTTTGAAGGTAGTTTCTATCTGTGTTGTTTTCATGGTTTTTAAGAATGGATGCATTCCGAGTATACATGGATTGATCGCGAGAATTTAAATTTTGAAACTTATCTGAGTGCTTGAGTAGGTCAGGAGGAAGCATTAGCGCTGTGTGGCGAAAGCGTTGCACTTAATTCTGTATTTCGCACGACAGGGTGTTTAATCACTGATTCCTTTTTCTCGGATTTTATTTGAATTGCAGACTTTTCTCTGTTTAAGCGCACGATTCTCATCCGCGATGTTGACCTCTAAGGTACAATTCCTCACCTGCCAATAGGTTTGATGATAAAATTGGGTGCTTCGGTCATTAGGTCTGTGAAAAGAGATACAATTGAACAAAGTCTTGATTTTTTTTTTTTTTTTTTTTTTTTTTCGACAACATTCTTTATTCCTTAGGCTCGATCCTGCAACTCAGTTAGCTGATTTTTGTTGTCTCTCATGATGGTACTCAGTACTCTTATCCACATGAAAATATCTAAGTTTGCGTTGTTGGCATCAAGCTCTTAATAGGTTTACACACTGCAAAGTGATATCGAGCTTGAGGACCGTAATAACCTGTAGAAAGAGAGAGCTAAGATTATTACTGCTTGACGACTTAGTATGCCCGCATATTGAGGCTTTCAATTAGGCCCGAGGTTGTGGATATTGCTTTCATTCGAGGTATGTGCTACAATGTTCTGTGCAGGCTCAACTGGGACGTCTACAAGCAGTTGAAGATGATGGCAGCACCTTGAAAAGCGGTGTATTGCCAATTGCTCTATTTGAGGGTCCCAATTCCATTGGCCGAGACGATTTGGTATCTGCGAACAAGCAAGTGAGCCGCAAGCATGTGGTCCTCAAGACTTCTTCGGATTGTACTTTTGAACTATCAGTGGTAAGATTTTTCTTCTTGTGATATTGCTTCTGAATCCTATTGCCCTACTTGTATCAATTGATCAACACTGTCGTTGTACAGAGTAAAGGTTGAAGTTACACAAATTTATTCTCTTCATACGTTTCAAATTTGTAAAATATTGTTTCTTCATGGATATCGTTTCGCTTAAAAGTCTCATCTTACTGAAGGCTTGTACAGATCGTTGGACTTTGCTGAAGTTTGAACTCGAAATTTTGACGATAATTTAACACACTGAGTTTGGCATCTGACAATATACAGTGGCTGTGATATTTTGGCGATGATTGTATAGATTGGGCAGAATCCTGTGGTGATCAAATCTGGATCAGGGAAAAGAAAGCTGTTACCAAATGCAAGAGCTTTGATATCTGCTGGAGACATCATTGAATTCTTGCCTGGAAAAATGCCTTACAAATTAACTTTAGAACCGACTGAAGACGAGTTGGTCCATCATTCAAGCCGTGATGTGCAGAGTAGGAGGAGCTCGCAAGCTGCTCATTGCGAAGAATCAGGCGCAAGGTCGTTGTCACTTCTCTTGCAAGAATGTAAACCCTCTGAAACTAAAAAAAAACGGGAACTCGAGACAATTATTATCGATTCCGATGAGGATGAGCAAGTATCAAAGAAACAAAAACAGCAGCTGATCGAGGACGAGGCTTTTGCTCAAGCTGTACAGGTATCAAAGTCGTCTATGTCTTTGCCTCAGAGTCAACGATAAGATACCAACTCTGAGTTCCTTTTTCTAGAAGTTTGCTAGTGATATTAAAAATTAAACCTGTCTGGCTTTACATTTTGCTGAATAGTCTGCTCTTATTTAAACAATTGTGACAATATGCTCAATCCATATGTTCACCATCTTGTGTCATTGAAGACTTCTAACAAGTTTTGCTAGATGTCTAAGGATGAGTGTCCCGATTGTAAACTTCTCCAATGGTAGTAAAACGACGTCAACTGTCTGGAAATAAACAGGCTGAAGAAGACGGGGCTGCTAGGGCTTCAATAAGAGGAAATGTATCGTTATTGAATGAACAGCACATAGGTACATCCTCCTCGTCTAAGAGTCCAAGGGCCGCTAACAAATTGGACGAAGCGTTTGGAGTAGACTACGAAGCCGGGTGCAGATCAAGCTCTACGTTCCGGTTGATGCAGGTGAAAGGCTTGCCACAGTGGGCAAATAAAGGGTGTGTGAACATAAGAGGTGTCATCCAGGTAAATGAAAAGAAAAGCTACTAACGAAACATTTCCTGGTCCAAAACTACGAAAAATTACACTATGGATTTTTGATGCGCTTGAACAATCATGTAGCAGTGGTAGGGGCTCAGCATTCTTGAATTTCTCCCTACTTTTAGATTTGTTTCAACTATTACGTGTATGCTTTGTTTTCCTCGCATTATCACCTCTTTCCTTGTTACACGTTTGTTCCTTGCTTCTAAAAGTTTTTGAATACCTCTAATACACGTGATTTCCTTGTCAATGTAGGGCGACGTGCAGGTAGCCTTACTGTCCAACTACATGGTAGATATTGACTGGCTACTTGAAGGTGAGCTGAGCATCAAAGCTTCCTCTTAGATCTGTTTCCTAAACGGTTGTAGTTATTGTAACTTTCAAGTCATAGTATCTTGATTTGTTTGCTAGAGTTTACGCAAGACGTATTTCTTTCTAAATGCTCTTCAATAAAGAATTGTTGTAGCTGCTCCTTCCGCAAGCGCATAATTAGGAATAATGGTTATGAATGTCATGCTAGAGATTCTGAAACAGTGTTATATGATGCAAGAACTTTCCTATAGCTTGCCCACGCCTAAAAACGGTTCCTTCAGTGGTCATCTTTCATGGAGAAAGTGGAGGTTCGCTTGAGCTCCTCCAGGTATGTGTTTGCATTTAGAAACAATTTTTAAACCGTGACAGAAGACTTAATTTATCACAGAAGCGGGTATTATATGATATTGCTCTGTTGAAGCAGTTGTTGCTACGGATCTTGGTCCTCTTTGCACCTCATTCAAATAGCAGTCATTGTCGCAACATAGGACCTCTGCAAGTTGCTTAAATCTGCTCAATCTAAGTAGATTTACAGGTGTCTTCATGTGTTCTGTGCTGCGAATAAGAACCACTGATGAAGCCCAAAGATTATTTCGGAGCTTCAGGATTCAACCCAAGTATAGTTTTGAGCTGTTTAGAAACTTACGGCTTTCATGAACTTAAAGTCGTCTCTCTGACCACCAGATTTTGTTTGGACTTGTGATTGCACAGGCCAGGAAGCCTAATTCGTGGTTGCTCCACAAGCCACCTCTTAGATTGAGCTACGGCACACACCATACAAAAGCCATGTTTCTGCTTTACCCAACTGGTATACGTATTGTCGTGCACACTGCGAATCTGATCTATATTGACTGGAATAACAAATCCCAAGGCCTTTGGACGCAAGACTTTCCATACAAAAACGTAGCTGCTGGCGAATCCAAGCCATCTCCATTTGAGAATGATTTGGTGGAGTATCTGCAAGCTCTTGAGGTTGGATGCTCTTTAATCTTGTCGCAATTAGAAGAACTTCGGTGGTTTTGAAAGCCGTTTGTCACAGTGGCGTGTCCATATGTCAGCAAATTTGGAAGAGATGCTATTTTCAAAATTACTTTGCCTTCTTACAGTGTCATCTTAATCAATTTGGCAGTGGACAGGGTGCATTGCAATTATTTCTGGAATTGGTGAAGTTCATGTTGACGCTGCTTTCTTTCGCAAGTTCGACTACAGTAGTGCCATGGTATATTTCTTGACTGCATAAAAACTCTTTGTCTTATGAGTTGAAGTTAAAACGAAATTTTTGTTCGCAAAGTACTAGTATTTATCTGGCCCCAGTAATTTTTCTTTAATTCATTTTCTTGCCTTAAAACTTTCTATGTGCCGTACATTCTTACTAGGTCCGACTGGTTGCTTCAGTCCCGGGATATCATCTCGGTCGAAATCTGACAAAATGGGGTCACTTGAAGCTTCGGACCATTTTGCAAGAGCAGCATTTTGAAGAACATTTCAAAGGATCTCCCTGTGTATATCAGGTGAGCATGGTGGTGTGTACATTACTTGGTATGAGTTAGTTATGATTGGTTTGAGCCAAGCTGCTGAGTTGATGGGTAGTTCACCTCATGATAAGTAGTCTTAATGGTCAATAGTAGGATTCTAGATTTTAGCATAGACTTAAGTGCGCAAACTGTGTGTAGTTCTCATCTTTAGGTTCTTTGGATGAGAAGTGGATGGGTGAATTTGGCTCTTCAATTCAAGCAGGATCGACATTTGGAAATGAGCAACTTGGTCCTGGCCCAGTTCAAATCGTCTGGCCTACTGTGGAGGACATTCGAAATTCCCTCGAGGTACTTATATGTTTAATATCTTCAAAGTAGCTCAAATGAAACTTCTTACAATCATTTCTTCTTAATGAAGGCTTTAATTAATATTCTTCTTTCAATCAAACAAAGGTTTCTTAGTCTGTTGTTCACAGGGTTATGCTGCAGGCGGTGCAGTTCCAAGTCCGCTAAAAAATGTTGAACGAGCTTTTCTATCTAAATATTGGTATCGGTGGCAAGCTGATCATACAGGTCGAAGGTATGCTGCACCAACCTCACTCTTATTTGTGCTGTATTGCATGGAAATCCATACTTGCTTCTATTCTAATGAAAGGTGATGTAGATTCCAACAATATCCTGGTTGGATAAGTTTTGAGATACTTTTTAATTTCTTCTTTATATCCTTAGTCTGCTTCCACTTTGTGAAGCGTGCATGCTCTTACATTGCCTGACAGGTCTACAAAGAAAGCATTGATCTTTCAATCAGCTGAGACTAATTACAACCTGTTGGCATTGGTACAGCCGTGCTATTCCCCACATAAAAACGTTTTTGCGATACAATGACCAAAGACTTGCGTAAGATTCCTTGCCCATCTTGGTTTTTCTCTTGACATACTAAATATTCATAGTTTGTAGATAAATTGTGACTGATAATTGGTTCTGTTTTGTTAGACTTTTTTTGACGTTTGCTAGTATGTAATTCTGGGCAGATGGTTTTTGCTGACATCATCAAATCTAAGCAAGGCTGCATGGGGAGTATTGCAGAAGAATGGTTCACAGCTCATGATCAGATCCTATGAGGTCTCTACTCTTATGACTGCTTCGTTGCTGCAATCAATTTATTCCGCAGAAAGCTTCACGAGTAGTCTAATAACGCTCTCATGTACGTCTTGGCACATGTGCGTTTTGTGCATCTTATTATTGATTTTTGTCGAAATACTGTAGGAAGCTTGAGGATCCGCTTCACTGACCTTATGTCATAAACATCCTACTAACCATATAGTCATCAGTTTTGAGTTCCTACTGAAGGCTGCGATCGTTGATCTTGGAGGGTATCTTGCAGCTAGGTGTTCTGTTCTTGCCTTCGCTTGTTGGAAACAACTCAAATGTCACTCCCTTTTCATGCACTTACAGCTCCTCTATCTTGGTATGTGGATCTCAAATTGGAAACTTCTTGGTACAAATTTATATTGTTGGCTTATTTCAGAGATTCTAATCTATCTGTTATGTATTGGTATTTGTGCCATTCTAGTGTAGATCCTATTTTAGTTTGCTTGGGCTTTAATATGGACCTTTTCTGGTTTACCCTGACTATATCAGAGAACCTTAATGGCTTCCATGCAAGAGCCCCGTCTTCATGGGTTCTGAATCGATCAGTATGCAATGGAATAATCAACTATCTTATTGTTGAAAAGTTGATTAATCTTATTTTCGCCAGTGCAGCCCAGAGAATTGCAGAACAGGGAGGACGATGGAGGTAAAAGACAACTACGCCACACAAAGCTCGTCACACTGAGCTGGAAAAGCAGCAACCATGAAAAATCAGACATGGACATTTTTGTACGCTTGCCTATACCATATGCATTACCACCAGTGAAATATGACCCCAAAGGTGAGCTTGCGCTTGCATCATTATTCAGTGCTCCGGCATCCAGTTTGAATTCCTTCAGTTACTCTTTACTTTGTAAGGAACTTTGTTGACAGCTTTAGTTGTTTACGTAACCTATAAAACATGCCTCTCTGGTCTGTTGCAATAGTGGCTTTATTTTCTTCTTTTGTGTTTGTTTTTTTTTACCCCAAGGTGAAATCAAGAAATACATGTATCATCAACTTAAGTAGCTCCCTTGGAAAGTGGCATAACATGTGTCTTTATTGCGGTGAAACAGACATACCATGGTCGTGGGATCGGCAATACAGAGAGCCAGATATGTTTGGTGAGGTTTGGCCTAGACAAGTACGTCGTTACACCATGCAAAGCTAATGACTGGTACAGCATACTTTCATGATCTTATCAGAATATCCTGGCACTCCCCTTAAACGTTGAAAGAAACTTATGCCTAAGGTACTTTTTTTTTTTTTTTTTTTTTTTTTTTTTTGTCAAATTGGGAAAATTAGTAATGAACTTAAATCCTAAATGAATCTATTGAATGCAGCTCCAGGACTTACACTACGGGATTTAAGTTCCCTTAGAGACACAATTGCCCTAGATTTTCATACTACGGTGTAAGAATGGATGAGATCCATTTTCTCTTTTGTCAATCACATTGGCTGAACATTTGCTGTGAAGAAGGTCCAGACTTTGCACCATCAATATAGGCTTGCATGTTTTTATTGAGCACTTGACGAATGTACTTCGATCGGTAATTAAGAGAAACTTCTTGATAGTTGGATACAAGCTTTAATGGGAGGACTGTTAGGTAGACACCTCCCTTTTATTGCATGGACACTCATATGCTATGTACCTCTAAATACACATAGTAATTTCTTTTATTTATATTTTAAAATAGTAGAATAATTAATAGTAAAAGATTCTTTGAATGAAAATAATAAGCTTTCTAGAGGGAATGAAAAAATTACATAAAACATATTATGGAAGTTTGTTGAATTTGGAAAAAAAAGAAAAAAAAAAAGAAAAAAAAAAAGAAAGAAAGAAATGACATAAGCCATTAGATACGAATCTTTTGATGTAAAGTTATTCTAAATTTATGTCATTATCATCAAGTAATCAAAAAAAGAAATAAATAAAAAAAAATTATTTATAAGATCCCATAATTCAATTTGCTAATCTATATGATAATCAAATTACAAGTACTTGACAGCAGTATACTTTCTTTAGAAGAAAGTATTGTTTCTAAGATTTTAAAAATAAATTTGATATATTTAAAAATATAAATATGAAATATTATTTGAATTCATTGTAATATTGACTAATAATTGCACCATGCACAATGTATTTAATACATTTTTAATATGTATTCTATGTAGAATAAAACATAAAGTATAGATGTACTCTTAAATATTGAAAATTTAATTTTTATTAGTTATAATCTTTCAAAGATACATGTGAGTAATTTTTTAGAATATTTATTTATTTAAAATTTAATTAGATCTTCAATTTTTTGATAATTTATTATTTAAAGCATGTATGTCAGAGCTTTATAGTTTTTATTTAAAGAAAAAAATTACAATGTTTTTATATCAATACATACATAAAAATATACATCTATAAATATTGATAGAAATAAAATTTTGATAATTTATAAATTAAGCTTAATATTTTTTATAAAAGTCAAAGTTATATTATAATATTCACACAACAATAATAATAATAATAATAATAATAATAATAATACTAATAATAATAATAAAATAATTATAATTTTATAAAACATAAATTTTAATGGATAAATATTTTATAGACATTAGTTTAAATTATAAATTAATAAATAAACACACAAATAAATATCATTTAAAAATTATAAAAAATATTCAATTTAGTTTTTAAAATAGTTGTATATTTTTTAATTAATTATAAATGTAAAAAATAAATTTAGTATATTAAATATTATTTTTATTTTTATATTAAATTTTATGTTATTCTTATATAAATTTAAGTTGGTGAAAGTTAATTAAATATATATATATATATATATATATATATATATATTTATTAATTTATTTACATGCATATACAATAGATTTTGGCTCATGTTACAAGCATACTCCAAATTGATATATACAAACCCATTATGTCTATACATACATTTAAGACCATTGATTGGTTGCTCTAGATCTCTCTAATTTTGTCTCAATGGGAGTTTTTGACCTCTTCCCTCTCTTCTTTACGTCAATATAGGTCCTAGTCTCATCTTCTTCTTTCTTGTCTTAATGCATCAAGAAGGTGAGCCTCCTTAAGAAAACATGGGGTCCTTAATTACAAGTAGGTTGTAAGAAGCACAATATTGTTCAAATGAACTCAAATATAAAAAGGTAGTCCAAAGGTTGAGTATAAATTTTAGATTAGTTTCTTTCTTGTGCCAAGATGCATCCAATTCCTAACTCTAATTTCAAATCCAAATTTATTCTTATTAAAATACTTATATATTACTCATTACTAATTCAATCTAAGCAAAGTTTAGCTCATTGTTCTTAATTGAAGCTATAAACTTCAAATTATCAAAGTCAATAAATAAAATTTTAAGAAAATAAGAGCCAATTAAAGGAAAAAAAATTGATTGTTTCCTATAGTTGTTGCCTTTAAAACCCTTATTTATAAATTAGCTTAGATTTCTATCATTATAGCTCTTCTTCTTGCATACAATGGCTTATTGGAAAGCTAATAATAAGGTCTAGCTTTTCTAAAAATTTCAAGGCAAAAAAAAAAAAAAAAAAAAAAATCCAATAAATGGCAAAGAAAACCTCAAACTAGTTTTGAATCACACTATTGTTGTATTATGTGAAGCCTTGTTTAATTAAGCCTTGTTCAATTATGCATCAAGTTGTAGAAGATAAAAAAAAAAAATTCAAGAAAAAATCTTAACAATTCTAATAGAATCCTGTATAAATTGCAATTAAAGCTTAACAAATATAATAAAATATTAATTAAGTCCAATTATTGTTATTTTTTAAATTATAAAAGAAATACAAAAAAATCCTAAGTAAATTTTAATTGAATTCTAATCAAATACTATACAAGTTTTAGAAAAATCCTAAAAAAATCCTAAACAAATTTTAAACAAACTTTAGACAAATCTTAAAAAATCTTAATCAAATTCTAAAAAAATCCTAATAAAATCTTAAATAAAGCTAGACAATTACTAATCAAATCTTAGACAAATTTTAATTAAATTTTAGAAAAGTTCTAATAAAATACAAGACAAATTCTAATCAAATCTTAATCAAATCTTTAAAAAAATTTAATCAAATCCTAAATAAATCCTAAATAAATCCTAAATCTTAAAGAAATTCTTAATAAATCCTATGTTAGATTTAAACTTCCATAACTAATAATAAAACCATTGATTTTAACTCAAATTTTTCACATCTTTCAACAACTAAGCTGACAACAAGTACAAATTTATCTCTAAGAAGATTAAACTCACCAAATAGAAGATAAATCCTAAAATCTGATTAGGTGTTGGCTAGCCTCCTTCTCCAATCTTGATGCCAATCTTCTTGAACTGAAATCTCTTAATTCTATTATTATATGCCTTTGAAAATTTACAAATATATTAAAAATCAAGTCTACTATCTACATAAATAAATTTCATTTCAATCCAATTTACAGATTGCTAAAGATCTTAAAAATCCTCATTGATCTTTAAAATCCTATTTTTGAAACCTCAACTGACTTAAACTTCAATGACCTTTAATCTAATTATTTTATTAAATTAAAATTTATAATATGTAATAAAAATAATTATAGTTATAAATCCACAAATTTTCACCTATAGATCTATTACAAAACTTTGAAAATTCTTCCAAAAATAAAACCAGATTCACCAAAAATAATGTTGACTTTACAAAGTTGTTACAAAGTTATTACAAAGTAATTTGAGTTTGTAATAACTTTGTAACAAATTTGAATATTAATTTAAGTAATTTGAATATTCAAAAAAATCTTATAAAGTCTTCTCTCAAATCTCACTTTTTGATTTACAAAAAAACCTCCAAGTTGCTATAGGTACATGATTTTGTACCTTGGGATCTAATTTCAACCCTGGTTAGTAACTCGTCCTTTTTGGGTACTAATTCTTATTTTCTTAAGGTAATTTTTATTAAAATAAATTTCTAACTTCTTTACATATATTTATATATTCTTTATTTTTTTAATCCACTTTATTTTGCTTTATTTATGGCCCTATAAAATAAGTAGAAGTTCCCTTTATAAAAAGGTAATATTTGTATTTTTAATTTTACTACCTTTTGACTATTATCTATATTTTTAAGATAATTTGCTACAATATTTTGAAATAAGATCTTATATAATATAATATTTTCTTCACTCTTTTAACTATTAGTCATATTATATCATGACACCCTTCAAAACTTCCAACAACTTCTCTCCCTTAAGTTCATATGAATCTCCTTTGTTGCAACTTTATTTTTGTATGCTAAAGCTTTTTGGAAAGCTTATAGCAAGATCTAATTTCTTTCAAAATCTTAGGACAAAAAGAAGAAAATCCAATAAATGGTATAAAAAATTCCAAACCAATCTTAAATCTTGTTACTCAAAAACTTTAGCAATTTTTTTCTATATATACCTATTTAAGCAAAAAAAAAAAAAAAAAAAAAAAAAATCCATTTAATATCAAAATTTCTATCTTAATATTCTTCTAATATCTACTTTGAACTATTATAGAGTTCCATATCTATCCTAAAAGACAATACCTTTAAAACTTGAATAATTCATTTAAGCTAAAAATTTCCTATTTTATATTTTATTCAACTTTATAAATATTTTAGTATTATATTCTTCCCTTCCTACAAGTAAAATTAATTACCTTCTACATAACTTTGATGCAATTATTTTAAGTGCGTCATGATAGCCATCCCCTCCAAATCTATACATACTCTAGTATACACCAAAGAATTAGACCAAAATACTTCTTTCATAAAAATTAGAGTCCTTGTAAGTTATATCACTTATAAATTATTGATCAAAATGTTGAGATTCAAATACCTCCAAATCTTCTATATAATTCATTTTATCTCACCACTTGAAGACTTTAAATTGCTTCTTATAATCTTAGTCTTCAATGGTGTTTTATCAAACTCTTGAAGAAAAAAATTATATTATCATGTATTTCAACTACCACATAGGATCCAAATCAATGCTATGCAAACTTACAAAGAATAGAATGTTGGGGGATCAAACTATTATCATAAACTAAAATCCAATCATCTTTTTTAATTGGCTTAGACTTCTATCAATAAGTTTTATCAAACCTCTCTTTGTTATTCAACCTTACCACCTTAAGCTTCTCCATAGCAACTTAATGTTTCTTGTGAAATCTCTTTAATTGGTGAATTTGATGCCCCAAAAATCTCTTCTTATCAATGCCATCATGTTTAGAGAGCATTGCTAGAAACTTCTCAATCTCTATCTCAATCAAAAAATCATTCCTTCCAATCTTCAACTTACTCATAGTCTCTTTAATAAACTTATGATCAATCCTTTCTATTCCCTCAATTCTAATTTTATGGTAGCTTATTTGATGTGCTCTTTAGTTGTTTAAGGCAATTAAGTTGCCATAGACTTTACCTTCTTGGCCATGGTTTTATACTTAGTATATATTATAGCCTCTTATTATACAACATGATTATTAATTACTCCAAGTCTCTTTAAAAAATCCAAAACCTCTTTATATATTTATCTTGAATAAAGCTTCACAACAACCTTTTAAAAATTTAAAACCTCCAAAGTTATTAAATCCAAAAATCTATATTTAAAGCTATCTATATTAGAAAGTATATGGTTAAAAGACTCA